TTCCTTTCTGGAAAAAGCCCCAGTGTTAACCAACATCCCTGTGTTCCCTTAGTGCTCCCAAAGCCATGTATATGGCTGCAAACCATGAGCTAGGTTCTAGCCACGCTCTGTTTCTTGTGTTCTGTGGGCTTCCTGCGCAAGGCCTAGGCTGCTACAGTCCTGGCTGGATGCCTGGGCCACCTGCCAGCCCAGGGGTCCAAATAGAATATATTTTTAGGCTGCTACAATCTGGGCCAACTGGGTGGGCTTTTAAACCCAAAGTCAGAATCTTCAGGAGCTTGTAGATTTCTAGGTTGTAGAGGGAAGGGGATGACAGCTTCCTTAAAAGAAAAATTCATTGGCACTCAATGTTATAATTTCACTTTTGCTAACTAACATTTTCGGTGAGATTCATCTGATTTGGAAGTTGCCCTAAGAGTCAAGGTTCACTTGAAGTCCAGCTCAGAGGTCCTAAGCGGTTGGGTTTAGCTCAGTGGCTCTCAGGCAGGGGTGATTTTGCTGCAGCTCAGAAGCCCTGCTGGATAAAGACAGCAAAGAGCACCAAAGGGGCAGCTTATCCTCTTACGAGCGCCTCCCAGGTAAAGGCCTCCCTGTGGGTCTGAGCCAAGAGCTGCACCTCACAGCAAGGATCACACGCTTCGCACGATTTCTGGTTAAGATCTTTTTTTTTTTTTTTACATCTTTATTGGAGCATAATTGTTTTACAATGGTGTGTTAGTTTCTGCTTTATCTGGTTAAGATCTTGTCTTTTCATCACTAACTAGTAAGGGTGGGATGGTCTATAATTCCCTCAAATTATAGAAATTGAAGAATGCCCAGGGCTGAGTTTTGGGGGCAGGAGGTGGGGAGCAAGAGGAACAGGGTGTCTGCAAACATTTCGGGTTATTGCAATCCCCTCTCAGTGCGTATCCTACCCTGCTTCCCTATCTCTAATTATTCATCCTATTTCTCCCTGAAAGAATCTTCAGACATTGCTGGAATGACGTATTCTTTCAATCTTCCTCTCCAAGGTAAATCTGCTAGGCCAGCTGTGACTTGTGCTATGCGGGAATGAGATATTTTAGCTACCTCTTCCTAAACTGAAAGGCACATGGGGGACACATGAGAAGCAATGGACACGCTTGTGTCTGCCAACTTACTACATCAGGAAGCACGGGGTAAGACAGCAATGTAAGTAAGTCCCAGCCCTGAAAAGGCATATATGCAGCCCTCGAGCCAAGTCAGGGAATGAAAGCCTGGCCTGCCGCAGCACCTCTGAACCACTTTCATCGTGCAACTCGTCTGCCTGGCTCCCTGCATTTCTCCTAGAAACATGGTGATATCAACAAGCAGACGCCCGCGGGTAGTTGAAACAGAGGACTAACCAGTTCAGGGATTCGCATCATATAAATCTTTGGCAGTTATCATTTGAATGCCTCCAAACCCTAAATCCACCCTCCTTTGCCCTGCTTTGTGAAATGGGAACTGGACCCTGGAAACATTTCTCCTTTGCTAGCTGGTGCAATGGTAGGTTTTGTCAATAGAGGGAGCTGGAGAGACAGGCCGGGCACAGCAGAGGAAGTGGCTTGTCTTCTGGTTCGGGTGGCTTTTCTGCCCGGCGTGTGTCTACCAGCAGCGTGCAGGAGGCCCAGGGGCACCCACGCTTCAGCAAGCATCCTCAATCACCCAGAGGGCTGCAGGCCAACTCCACCCTGCCGGCGCTCTCCATGAAACCTCAGCCACCTGGTGCGGGGGTCCACTGGCTCTGGTCCACCTGCGCCCTCTAGCCAGTGTAGGAGCACAACACTGCCAGGCTGCTTCTGCAGACCTGCTGCAGCCCACAGCCTCTGGCAAGTTTGTTTACCCCCAGTAGCTTGTGTGTCCTGTGGTGGATACACCTTCAACAAGGTAAGGCTTCATGGGGTGTGGTCTTCTCTAGGCTGCCTTGCTTGTAACCCTCAGGCCCAACCAACAGGCCCCGAGGTACAGCTGTCTCACCCACGCCCTGGCGAGGTGAGCCACTCAGATCTGCACCTACGGGGCCAGGGTGTGTCCATTGCAAATGTAAGCACCACCAGCTGTTTTAATGGTTTCATATTTATTTAATAATTAATGAAACTGACCTTTTACCGAGATTGCTCTGCTCCCTCCCCACTCCCCCACTCCCATCTGCTCTTCCCTGCAGCCCTCCCCTCCATGCTCTGCAGCAGCCGTTGTTAATAACACACCCCTCAGACCCTTTCTGTAATCACGCCTCCTCTCTTCTCTGACCATAACGGAAGCTTGCCCCCTCTCCTCCACCAGGACTCCAGACACAAGGATCAGTCTGTACAAGACGTGGCAGTGAAGAGGGTCCGTTCCACCCAGGGACCTACAGGAGGTTCTGGATGCCAAAGGGCCCGGAGAAGTGTGACCCAGCTGGAGGGCACGCCAGGGGTCAGGTCCCCCTGCCCTTGAAGCCCTCTGGGGCAGAAGCTGCTTGTTTTACCCACACGCCACAGATCCCGTGGTCCGTGCGCTCTCCAGGCCACATCCACACCATGGTCCTCCACCCTGCTGTGAACTCTGACCCCTCTGCCTGGGCCTCCCCCGCCTGCACTGGGAGCTGTTCTCCAGGAGCCTCGCATCACAGATGACTCTGGCGCCCACCCCGCTGAAGGTCCTCCTCCCTACCTCCAGCCTGAGCCTCCCGCCTCCTCAGCTTCCTGTCCCCACCTCATCGCTCCCCCTGAGTTGGCTTCCAAACACACGCCAACTGTGTCCTTTCCCACTCAAACTGCTTCTGTGAGGTTAACAAACAAGGTATTGACGGTAAGGCCCCAAGAAGCTCCGCAGTCCTTATTTTCTCTACTTTACAGTCTCTTCCATGCACTCATTGAAAGGGTTCCAGCCCCTTTCTCATTACTATAAATCAGGACACATCCAATTCCCGCGTTAATTCTAAGATACCCTGAATGATGGATTAGAGAGAATGGCCAGGATAGGGTAGTGATGGGAGCACAGACACAGATGGCACTACCTGGCTCCACAGGCATGATGCTACCACTGACCAGCCGTGAGGCCTTGGGTAAGTTATCTGACCTCACTGTGCCTCAGTTTGCTTATCTGTGCAATGGGAATAATCATAGTTTCTCCCTCATAGGGCTACCATGAGCTTTAAGTGAACTCAAATGTGTAAAGTGCTGGGCATGTAGTAAGCATCTGTAAGAGTTAGCTACTGTCATAACTATTATTGTTATCATCCGAGTGTGAGATAGCTGGATGGCAGCTGTAAAAATGGTTGCTGAGCCTGGACCCTGTTTGTGTGATCCTGTTCTTGGTCTTCAGGTTGTACGGTGGCCTCAGCCCCACGCTTTGTCCTTTCTGTGTTCCATCTCCATGTGCACTTTAGGGCCTAGCATTTGCTAAGTGGAGACCAGACAGATTCACAGAGCTAAAGGCCCTAGTTGTTGGGGTAGCAGGTGGCTTCCCCTCTTTTCTTGCTAGAGCCACACTGAGGTGCTTCTAGGCCTTACGGGGTGAGTGCCAGGTCTCCTCTGAGCCTCTCCTCACCCTCCTGCCTTCAGTAGGCCTCGGCCGCTGCACCTCCAGCACTGGCCTGCTGTCTCTCTGTTCCCATCAGTCTCCCCTGCCTCCGTGTCTGCACTGCTGGTCGGAACCGAGTCTCCTTCCCTCTGTTCCCAGGGCTCAGCCCAGGGCCTGGCACTCAGGAGGCCCTGGCACTCAGGAGGGCCTGGTGAGTAGGTCAGTGCCAGGTGGGCCCTGTGCTTCCAGGAAGGACTAGGTGCCTGCATGCCAAGTGTGCCACGGCCGCCTTCAGGACGAGACTGGGGCTGGGGGGAGGGTGGGAGGTCTCTCCGTATCCCGGTGAGGGAGCCGGATGCAGAGACTGCAGGGAGGCGGGACTGCTCCTGGGAACCAGAGGCTTCCACCCTCAGGGGGGATCTAGTTGAGGGCCTGGCTGACTTGAAAGCAATTGCCTCAGGGCTGCTCCTTCCTGAAATAGGGCTCTGTGCTTCTAAACGCACCGACTAATCTAGCAAGAATATTTAAAGGCTGAACGTGAGAACCTGCTACAAGGAAATGGGATTCACGCTGAGGGGACAGCTGAGTCCAAGGGGGAGTCACAGATAAGGAGTCGGGAAATGCTGGGCCCCGAGACCTCGAGACCTCGGGCTGAGGGGCCGGAAGTGCTGCTATTAGTGGTGGGGACGGAGAGGGCGTGCGAGCAGCTGCTAGGAACAAGGCGCTGCTCTTTCCTAAGGCTGACACGGCTTAAGGGGAAGCCTGCAACTCAAATGGAGATTCAGATGTTTGGGCGCTGCTTCGTGCTCCCTCCCCGAGCACGCTGTTGGCTGTCTCTCTCCGGGGACAGCACTGCGGGGAGATGGGCACCAGCTCGGGCTTCTTGCCAGTCCCACGGTCCCTTCTGAGCCCCTGCCATGTGACATGGAACCCGGACCCTGGCAGACATGCTGAGGGGGTCCATTAAATACCTGCAGGGTGAGCAGTGGTAAGGGCTCCTGGGAAGGGCACCGCAGGAAGTGGTTACTTAACCCTTGATGGTCTGAGGTTGTGCAAACAAAGCTGGGCGAGATGTTCTTACGTGGGAGAGGATCCCTCTTTTAATATTAAAAAGTGAACTTTACGGTGTTTATTACTTACACAACTGGTCATCCCTATAACCTATACTTCTCTAGTTTTTTGAAATAAGACTATAGGGTTTTTGACTTGGGCGACCTAAAAGTCCTGGCCAAGGGCCATAAAGGGTTAAAATAGCATTCAGATGACATCAGCGCAAGGGAGTAGAGTCCCAGAGCCTCCACAAAGCCGAGGTCTAGGCAGCCAGTCTCTTAGGGACACGACTGGCCTCCAGATAGCCAGAGAGAAGAGGCGCTTGGAACTCTCCAGACCTGGTACCAGGATTCTGGGAGCCTGGGGCTCAGACCCCCAAACTCAGAATGTTCAGAAAGCATCTTTGCTGACACTCCCAGGCATTCTTTCCCTCCTTCCCCACCTACCGAACCCTGGAGTCCTGTTGGCAAGACTGGAGTAGGCGTTCCCGCTGGGCGAGGAGGTGGCTGGACTGGAGAGAGGACTGTAGGAGGAGGGGTCGGCCGGGTAGGTGTGGCTCGTTCCAATCCCAAAGGGAGAAGACTGAGTCTTGCTGGACTGGGAGGGGATCGGCTGCAATCGAGATGAAGCACAGAGATGGAGAGCATCAGCAGCAGGTGTCCCCGGTCCACGGCCTGGGCTGGTCACTGCCACCCGCAGCGGCAGTCCTGCCCTGGGCCGATAGCGGCTCCAAAGGCCCTCCTGGGCCTGCTGGCACAAGGCCTGGGATCAGGCCACTGTGTGCCGGCCCAAGAACCACAGCACTGGGGCCCTGGATCTTTGGGGCAGGTCTGGTTGACATTCATGCCCAGGGCTACAAGGATCTAGGCCCTCTGCCTTCTGCTTATGGGACCTTGGCAAAGACTCCCTCAGCCCAGAGGACGGCCGTCCTCACAGCGACCACACGGAGACGCGTGTGTCCCAGCGCTGATGTTCTCACGCACTCCTGGGCCAGGGAAATGCAGGTCCCGAGTGGTGAGGGGCTCGCTCCTGACTAAGGACCTCTGTGCGCCCGCCCCTCCCCCAGGTTCCCCAGGACTTCCCCGAGACTGCCGGGAGAAAAGGCTGCTGAAACCGGACTCGGTACCATTGCTGGGGACCCAGTTCTCAAAGTACCCTTAGGGTGGCCAGTGCTCCTGGGAGCCCGGCTGCGTTTGGGGTGGTCAGCTGCAGCTCAGAGTGCCGCCCCTTCTCAGAGCTGGGATGCAAATTAAGCACAGCCCAGGTGCTCTGCACCCTCTGGGCACCTGGGGGCAGTGCCCTCACTGACACCCATACCTGTCCGGGAAAGGGCGGCCGACTACCCGCCCACGCCACCTGGCTCTGGTTTAGCTGCCGGGAGATCTGGGACATGTTCTGGCTCGTCGAGGAAGAGGACTGGATGTCGTTCACACCAGGCACGTGCACCACCGAAGAACTGCAAGGGAAGCAAACGCATTCGTCCCGGGGAGACGCCCCAGCTCCACGCGCCCTGTCCCGGGCCACCTCTCCCGGAGCGCACCGCTCTCTCCCACCGGAGCTGTGCATCACTGGATCGAAGGCCCCCAGAGGGAGCCCCCGGTCTTCCTTCTCTCCCCCGGGGCTCCCTCAACCACCACTGCTGCCTCTTTTTCCCCACAGGGTCTCCCCCTCACTCTCCTCTAGGAAGCCCCAATCCCACCCCTCTGTGTCTCTTGCTTTCAACGGATGATTTCCAGAGGAGAGCAGCTTCTTGGAACAAAAATCAGTCTTGGTGTTAACTTGCTCTCTGTGCTCTGGTTAATTTCTTCCTTTGGGGCACCTATAAAGCTTAAGGATTCAGGAAATAGGCCACAGGCTTTCAGAGAAAAGAGCCTGTCAGTGGAAGCCTGCTGGGTGGGGCCTGGACCTGCCCGCCCCCATCCCAGCGCAAACTGCTGTTTACCTCTTTTGACCCTTCAGTGAATCTTCAGTTGAATCCAACGAGTCCTTAGTAGACACCCGCTGTGTGTGTCACCCGTGCTCCCTGCCTGTCCTCCCGCAGGCTCAGTCCCTGACCGCTGTCTCTGCCCCTAGGCCTGCGCTGGCTGCACTGCTAGGCACGGCTTCTGTGAGATTTTCCCAGTTCCGCCAGTTATACAACAAGCTCATTACAGATAAAGGAGACCGGGGAAGACTTGTGTTTCATTTCAGGCTCTTCCTCCTGCCTCCCCAGGGCCAGCTCCGCACAGGCAGAGTGCTGGGTGCCCACGAGCGAATCACGTGGGAAGAAGGGGGCTAATCACGGAAGGCCTGGGTGGAGGTGGGTTTTCAGCCAGGTTTTTAAAGAAGGTTATAGACCAGTAAAGAAGACCGGGTACCGTTTCACTAATTGTATTACAATATGTTTTCCATGCTATCCGGTCCCGCTTAAAATAAGGAGAACTCAAAGATGACAAGACATTCCTGCACTAACCACGATCAAGGGGAACTTCATCCCCATCCTCCTGAGAGCACTTCCTCACTTAACACAGGACTCCTTTCCCATTCTCCCTCCTGATGAATGTGTGAGCTCAGAGGGCCTTTTCTGATCACTGTTCTCTGGGGCAGGGTGGCCCTCGGTGCCCTCCCAGCACTGGCTGGAGAGCTGGCAGTAGCCCTGTGGGTCCAGGGAAAGGTGCCCTGGCTAACGTACACACAGGGCCCACGGGACCACAGCAGGACTTGGGCTGGGGACGTACTTAGGGATGTGCTGCCACAGCTGTGCCGTTCTGCTGGGGGCTCAGGGTCATTCATCCCATAGCCCTTCCCACTCAAACCAGCTCAGGCCCTGCAGATTTACAGGAAACTGCCCATCCCACAGGCGTAAAGCCTCATGCGTTCTTTAATTATTATTTATAAATTTATTTGATTGATTTACTTTTTATTTTTGGTGGCATTGGGTCTTTTTTGCTGCATGAGGGCTTCTCATTGCAGTGGCTTCTCTTGTTGCAGAGCACGGGCTCTAGATCGCGGGCTCAGTAGTTGTGACGCATGGGCTCAGTTGCTGCGTGGCATGTGGGATCTTTCCAGCCCAGGGCTCGAACTCATGTCGCCTGCATTGGCAGGCGGATTCCTAACCACTGCGCCACCAGGGAAGCCCTCTTTAATTAATCCATCCATTCATTCTATAGACCAGTATCTAGTGAGTGCCTCCCCAGTGCCAGGCTCCACACGGGGGCTGGTGTACCCCCCGGACTCCTTCCTTACACAGCCGTCCAGACACCAGCCTGCCTTCCCTTCTGGTAACCGCCCTCCACCCCGTCCCGCTCTTTTGTTTCTGTGATGACAGTCCACACAGGCACAGCACCTCCAGCTGGACCGTCTCACTCCTCCACTGCGCCCCCCGCACCCCTGCCACCCTGAACTTTCTCCAGGACTCCGCTTCCTCAAGTGCCTCTTCTCCCACAAGTCATCAGTGATGGAGTCCGAACTCCCGGGCGTGGTATTCAAGGCCTCCGAGGCCTCCCCATCTCTCCTGATCCCCGGTGGCTGGGTGCCCGCCCTGGCAGCAGGTGGCCACCTGACTTTTGCTTCTGGGCGGCCCTCCCGCCCCCTGCCACGCTGCCTCGGGCTGTCCCTCCTCACCTCTGGCCTCTGCTCTGTCCCTGCTGCCCTCTGTCCAGACGGCAGGGGGTTGCGGGGGAGCAGCAAGTGTTATGAGGACTCGGTGAACACGGGCCTGGGCTGGCACACAGCCTGGCACGGAACTACAGTGGTCACCGTGTGCTGAGTGCACGAGTAACACAGCAGCAGGGCAGAAGTCTGGAGCCTCGGCCAGCGCTCAGCAGAGCGGGGTGACCGGCAGTGATGACGGCTCAGGAGCAGCTCACGGTGGGTTGTCGTCTTGTCCTCTTGTCCCCAGACCAGAGAGTCGCTGCCTGTTCAGAGACTCGGAACAGGTTGCGATCCAGCGAGGCCCAGCTGCACGGCTGGTCAGAGTCACTCCAAGATCTCAGAGGCTGCTGTTCCAGGGCACAGCTGCCGAGCTGCCTGCTGCTTCCCCAGGAGGTCTGTCCCTGGACCAGCGTGGAAGCACGAGCCTCATCCCCTTAGAGAGGGCAGCCCCGGCCCGGACCTCTCCCTGGGGTGGCTGGTCCCACCTGCCCAGTCCTGGTCCCTGCCTGCATCTTATCTGAAAACTCAGCTCCGGCCAAGTCAGCCAGAGGCTGGGCTGAGGAGCCCCATCCTCCTGGGCACGCATTTGAGATGCTTCGTCTAGTGAGTCTGCGGGCATCTGATGCTCAGCTGAGTACCCCCACACCCTCCCTGAACGCTGCGGGTCTCTCCTCTAGCCATTCTCCCCAGCCTGTGCTCCTGTTTCCCCGGCAGGCAGTGGAGCCAGGCCTTGCCTCTGGCGGTACTGTCATGGTGGTGTTGTCACAGCTTCCTCTGTGACCTACAAGAGGTCCCTGATGCTAAGAACCAAGACATCCTGCTTGTACCTCCCATGAGTGGCCCTTTAGGCTGAGACCCCAGGCATGATGGGCCAAGTTGTCCTCTCCCCCTTGGAGTTGGCCATGGCCTCAGAACCTGCTGCCTTGTCAGGTGTCCCCAGCTCTGCCCCATCTGGGTCCTGGCTAGAGGCCACTTCACTCCCTTCTCCCCGGCAGGCACCGCTACACAACGCAGTGGCTGGCACCTTTCACATCTGATATAGAGTTAACTGACACCATCACTTACGGTGACTCACCTAGGGCTCACAGGGCAGAACCGGAGCCACCGGACTCCTGAGCCTGGCCCGGGCATGTGGAGGCGTAAGCACGAAGTGAGGTTTGCAGTATTTGTTGCATGCAGAGCCAAGCCCTGAGACCCAGGGCCTCACTGGGTAGGGGGGCCTCTTCCTCCCCTCTTGCCCCACTGCCCGCCCCCACCAGGTACCTGAAGGCCTTTCCCGAGTGTCCCGGGGGAAACGGGCTGCCTTGGGAGTAGATCTGCTGAGTTCCTGCTGCAGAAGTCGAGCTCATCATCTTCTTCTCCGCTGGGAAAAGCAGAGCAAGGGTCACATTGGAGGAGTTCCTGCCCTGCAGACCCCAGGGCAGGGAGCCCCGAGCACAGATGCAGGGGTGGCAGGCACAAGCAGGAGGGCACAGGCCCTGGGCGGCCCAGCCCATCCCCATGCGGCCCGCCCCACCCTGATCTCTGCAGCTGCTCTTGCGGGCCCCCGGCTGTTCCCTGAAGCCTCAGCTGGGCCACAAGCTGTAAGGCAGGCTCTTTCCGAGAGTCGGGAAGATGAAAAGAACTAAAGAGGGTTCTTCCTCACACAGTATTTTACGGAGTTCTTCTCACATGGGGTGGGTATGATGCCTCTCATATTTTTTTTTTAAGATTTTTTTGATGTGGACCATTTTCTTAAAGAAGTCCTTATTGAATTTGTTACAATATCGCTTCTGTGTTATGTTTTGGTTTCTTGGCCACAAGGCATGTGGGATCCTTTTATTATTATTATTATATGTTTGTGCTTTTTTTGGGGGGGGGCTGCACTGGGTCTTCATTGCTGTACACGGGCTTTCTCTAGTTGCAGCAAGCGGGGGCCACTCTTCGTTGCGGTGCGCGGGCTTCTCATTGCGGTGGCTTCTCTTGTTGCAGAGCACAGGCTCTAGAGCGCAGGCTCAGTTGTTCCACAGCATGTGGGATCTTCCCGGCCCAGGGATCGAACCAGTGTCCCCTGAACTGGCAGGCGGATTCTTAACCACTGGACCACAAGGGAAGTCTGCCATGTGGGATCTTAGCTCCTCGACCAGGGATCGAACCTGCACCCCCTGCACTGGAAGGCGAAGACCTAACCACTGGACCGCTAAGGAATTCCCAATACCTCTCATTTTATGCGTGAGAAGGTGCAGAGCCATGATTAAGAGGACAGGCTCTAACATCCAGCTCTGCCCTATTTATCTGGGGTGTGGCCTTGGACATGTTATTTAACCTCCTCCTGTCTCCGTGTCCCCGAGTGAAAGATGGTGATAATAATAGCAGCTTCCTCATAGGGCTGTGGTGGGAATTCAATGCGTTAGCATAAGTTAAGTGCTTAGAACAGGGGCCAGTATCAGAGCCAACAGCATTTAAATGTTTGCTATCACTTGCTAGTGTGGAAACTGAGGCTCAGTTTGTCCAAGCTCACGAGCCAGTGAAGGAGGACTCAGGGCTTGAATCCAAGTCCAGCACTCCTCCCACTGGCCCAGAACCCTGCCTGACCCCGCTGCCCTAACCCAGCAGGTGCTCCAGCTAACCTGGAGCAGCCCCGACCTGCGTTCCTTCCCCTTCCACGAGGGTTTCTTTGAGAGGCCAAGCTCCTCATACAAGTGAGAACACTCAGGCCAGCCAAGATGCGTAATAGTGGATGCTTCTCTGCCACCGCGGAGCGCTAGGTAGAAAGCTCAGCTCAGCAGTCTCTCCCACGGAGAGAGGCTGAAGAAATGGGCTCAAATCCCAGCTGGGCTGTGAGATCTTAACACGAGGAACAGGGCGGTAGTTTGAGAAACAGGAGTGGGAACAGGAGCCTTCTCACTCCCTCTGGTAATTGAGGGGTCCAGGGCTCTCTGAAGCACCCTCCCAATTTCCCTAGAACCTCAAAATCCCCACGCATCTTATTCCTATAGACCCTAACATCCCTGCTTGCAACAAGATCTTGGAATAAAGGATATAAAGGCAATTATTTTGCGCCTGGACAGACCCCACGTCTGCACATGTCTCTGGTTGCTGGTGGGGGGATGGGCGGAGCGGATGGATCCTCCCTTGAGTGAGCGTGAGAAGTGATGGACGCTCGGGCTCACAGGCTTGGGGCCCAGAGAGCTGGCTTCAGGGGCCATGTGACAAATCGCCCACACGAGTCAACAAACCTCTGTGACGTTTGGAGAAACCGGAGGCACTGAGCAGTTTTCCTGGTCCATTTTCTTTTGCTGCAGTGACGGGGTGCTCACTGGGAAATCCTTACAGGATGGAAAGAGATCAGACTCGGGTGTGTATTGCTAACCCGATCATAAGGCCTTGAATCTTGGAAAGAAAGAGATGAGGCTAAAAGCTGCATGAGTTAGGAAGACTTCTGGACTTCTCTTGACTATAAACAAGCCACTTTTTCTCATGTATTTAAGGTTTTTTGGTGGTTGGTTAAATAAGAAACATTGTTTTTCTAAATGCTCCAGGACATCTGTGGGGTACAAAATTACATCTATCTATCTATCTATCACTTAATATATATACACATAAAATTATTCAATATTCCATATCTTTATTATTTTGATCTACATGATTTGCTAGAGATGAAGAAAGGCATATTGAAATCTGCTGTCATCTGGCTTTGTCAGGATCTCTTGTGTTTCAAACTATTTTTGGATTTCACATTTCATTGTTCATGACATTTATATCTTCATTTTAGGTCCCATCTTTTTTTTTTTTTTTTTTTTTTTTGGGTTCCGCGGGCTTTTCACTTTTTTGGCCTCTCCCGTTGCGGAGCACAGGCTCCGGACGCGCAGGCTCAGCGGCCATGGCTCACGGGCCCAGCCGCTCCGCGGCATGTGGGATCTTCCCGGACCGGGGCACGAACCCGTGTCCCCTGCATCGGCAGGCGGACTCTCAACCACTGCGCCACCAGGGAAGCCCTAGGTTCCACCTTTTACCTGTATACAATAGGCTTCTTTCTCTGCTTTCCTCCTTGGTTTTGGAGAGCATCATCACCACCCGCTCTTTCCGGTTCCATACTTTCATTTCATCTTGTTTTGGTTGTATCACATTTTGGCACCATACTGTTCAAGAATTATCCGTCAGAAGCCCTTGAGCATCAACTTATTTCATTACTCGTGCTATTCATATTTTCTTGCTCTCTCTATTTTTCTCCTGAGTGTTTTGCAAGTTGCTAAAAATTTCCTTGTCTTTTCTTGGAAGTGGTTTGGAGGCGAGACCTCTTTCCTTCCATCTTTTTTTTTTTTTCCATCCATTAGTGGTTATGTTTAAACATACTTGAAGTTATATGTCAGAGATAAAACAGTATAGACTGATGAGAAATGTCTGTTTCTAGTCCCCTGATCCAAAGTACGTATCTTTGCTGAATTGACTCTGGTTTTTAATTTTAAATATCTTTTTTATCTTCTAACAATGTTATATTAATTCCAGGTGTCACTAGTTTCACTTTTTCATCGCTACTTCTTTTCCAACCTATCACTTCCATTCTTGTGTTCCATATTTTGATTCATTTCACAAAAAGCACAGTCTTCTGCAAGTAATTTTTTTCCAGGAAGTACAACTAGATGGTGAATGTCCGAGAAGGTCTCTCTGTTGCTTTTTCATATAGGAAAGCAGCTTGGTTGGTGGAAATACTCTTGGATAACATATTTTCCTTCCCTTCTTTTTCCTTTTCTGTTAATTTTTTTTCTATTTTGTCATCTTTATGGGAAAAGGTCTATGTTTGTATAATATTAAAATTTCACATGGGTTTCCCAGAAATGCTGTGGGTATCTGACCAAATAGTTCAGGCTTATCTGAGAGGAAGAGGAACTTTTGCTATTGTTTCCTCTTGCTGGATGAAATTACGTTTCTCTATAAAAGTCGAGGAAATACCGCTGTGGGCGGGCGGCATATCTGGATGGCCGGTGGGAAGCACCAGAGGGGAGCCTCCCCGTCATGCTAACAGGTCTGTTCTCTGTTGCTCTTCTCAGCTCCGGCAGCTCCAGCACGCTCCCTACTTTCCTAGCATCTGGCTCACAGCCACGTGGGCACGAGGGCTGGGGTCTTCCACTACAGGTGCTGGCAGCAGGAGGCCTGAGATCTGCTCTCTCCCAGCTGTCCGGGGCCTCTCTGTTCCTCCCTGTGGCCCGTGCTGACCCCAGTTCCTTAGCCCTAGGAGGACGCTAACGGGGGTCCCTTCCCATTACTGCGTTCCCCACGCTTCCGTGGCGTGAGTCGGCCGGTTTCTCCCTTCAGCTGATCCCGATTACATTGTATCTCACAGATCACATGAAAATGGAATCTTTCCCTGAATTTTGGAACTGACAAAGACATTTCCAAGTTTTCTATGTTGCTGATCTTAGTGGCAGTCTGAGTGGGCGAGTGAGGCAGCTGCACACGTGGCTTCCACGTGACACCTGAACTTTGAACAGCACCATTTTCTTTTTTTAAAAAACATTTCTTATACCTTTTTATTGTTTATTTATTTAGTTTTGGCCGCCCCTCGCAGCATGTGGGATCTTAGCTCCCCGACCAGGGATTGAACCCGAGTCCCCTGCAGTGCAGGCACAGAGTCGTAACCACTGGCCCTCCAGCGAAGTCCCAAGAATGGCGCCATTTTCTCTAACTGCAGAGCTAACACAGGTGAGCACCCCAGTGACCACCATGAAGGATGCACCGTGGAACACCCATACAATGGAACACCACGCATGCGGTAAATACGATTCAGACCATTTAATAATCTAGAAAGACGTTCATAATAAATTGTCACGTGAAAAAGTAAGCTACCGAACAGCAGGAGCTCGATTTTGTATATAAAAAGATTTCACATGTGCAGAAAAAGACAAAAAGGATGACTTTTAAAAAGTTAAAAAAGATTAAATCTGGGTGGTAGGATACTGGATAATTTTTATTTTCCTCTTTACTGCATATTTTTATTTTAAAATGCAGTCCTCTCTGCATGAGAGATTAAGTTGAGATTCTTTTTTTTTAATAAATTTATTTATTTTTGGCTATGTTGGGTCTTCGTTGCTGCGCGCCGGCTTTCTCTAGTTGTGGCAAGCGGGGGCTACTCTTGGTTGCAGTGCGCTCATTGCGGTGGCTTCTCTTGTTGCAGAGCACGGGCTCTAGGTGCGCAGGCTTCAGTGGTTGTGGCACGTGGGCTCAATAGCTGTGGCTCACAGGCTCTAGAGTGCAGGCTCAGTAGTTGTGGCGCACGGGCTTAGTTGCTCCACAGCATGTGGGATCTTCCCGGACTGGGGCTCAAACCCGTGCCTCCTGTATTGGCAGGCGGATTCTTAACCACTGCACCACCAGGTAAGTCCCAAGATATATTTGTTTTTTATAGGGACATGTCTTTGTCTTCATAAAACTAAATTCTACCATGATTAATAGAGCTCATTTATTCCAATTCCTCAAATTTTGAAGATGAGATGTCAGAGGCTCCAGGTTGGTTGCCCCAGGTAACGGGTAAATGAGAGGCGAGGCCAGGAGTAGAGAGGATCCACTGGAACCCCTGGATTTGGTGCTACTTTTCTACCCTATAGAAGTCGCTGTAAATTCACCCTCAAGGGTGGTTGCCTCCAAATGGCTGGACAGCAACTATAAACCCCACAATCTCACGACCTCAGCATCCTTTGGAAACTTACATGCACTGATTCCTGCAAACATCTCGGCAAACCGCGGATCTCTTTCCTGGGAAAAGATTGAGTCTGCCTTTTCCACAGACTTCCCGGCCTCGTGAACCCCGGCTGGTAGGTTGGAGACAGGAACCTGTTTGCACATGAAAACACAAGAGCATCCTGCGTGTGAGGGGCAGAGCAAACGCTCCCAGAGGTCACCTGTTTGCCTCCACCAGATCCCCCTCCCTCAGAATTGCTGGCGTTTCAGCCTTCGGTGTTGTGTAGGGCAGGAGCTTTTCTGTACAGGAAAGCCAGGAACAGACGGGCGGGGGTGTGAACGAGAGGTCACAGAAAGGTCACTGGAGTCCCACTGATCACTTGGAGAGAGAGAAATAAAAATAATCAACCTAGTCTAAATATCGGGAAAAGTGAACATAAAGTTTAATTGGAGAGAGAGGCCAAATACCAACACAAGCTGCGGTTTCTCCCGCAGTGGGGCCTGGGGAGATGGGAGAAGGAAAGCGGACAGGGCAGCGAAGTGGGAGACACAGGCTGTGACCGGACAAGTGTGCTGAGAACAGAGCGGCTCAGACTAAAGGCGGGAGAAGCAGCGAGGAGGCTGCAGGGCTGACACAGTTCAAAGCCGTGCTGGCTTAGGGTTCGGGTTAGGGTTAGGGTTAGGCTTAGGGTTAGGGTTAGTTCCCACACAGCCTCTGCATCTCAGTACCAGTAAGTCCCCTACATACGAACGAGTTCTGTTCCGAGAGCACGTTCTTAAGTCCAATTTGTTTGTAAGTCCAACAAAGTTAGCCTAGGTCCCCAACTAACACAATCGGCTCTATAGTACTGTACTGTAATAGGTTTATCCTACTTTTCAAACAAATACTACATAAAAAACAAAACATAAAGAAGACCTTTTTAATCTTACAGTACAGTACCTTGAAAAGTACAGTAGTACCAGCTACATCACTGCTGCTTTTACGCTTGCTTCCGGACATCCTGGGCTTGAAATAAAGATACTGTACTACTGTCCTCTCTACAGTACTGTAAAGTACACAAAAGCACAGTCACTTGTAGAGGACGCATGCATGTGACAATGTACGCCAGACACGAGAGCTAACTTCCGTGACTGGACGTGCGAATGCACGTTCGCATCTTTGAAAGCTCGCAGCTTGAAGGTTCGTATGTAGGGCACTTACTGTGCTGGCTGACCGCGTCTCCTAGCGCTTCCTGTCTTACGCTCTTCATGGCTCGGCTCGGCTCTGCATGGAAGAGTCACAGCCGACCCCCCGCCCCACTCCGGGGACCAAAATGCTTTTTGCAGGGTGGGTAGAGGGAGAGACAGCACCTCTTGAGCGGAGGGGCTCAAGCTAAGGATTGGATTTAGTCCGCAGTCCTTTGGTTGGAGACAGTTCCAACTGGGAACGCGCTTTCCAGAAATTCACCTGCGGTAAGTCGTAGGATGACAACCCGTCTCTCTGGTGCACCTCCAATTCCGCCTGCTGCTGCTGAAGCTGCCTGGGAAACAAGGAGTCAGCAGTCACGAAGAACAGAAGTGGTGCTGACGGGGCGGAGCCACAGCTGTCCCCGCTCCCCAAGGGCAGACGGCAGCGCCCGATGGATCTCTAAGCTGTTCTCAGTTATGACTGATTTCATTATTTTTATGTCCCAAATCAAGACCCCAAGCCTTGTCTTTCAAGTGTAGGCCGCCAATATTTAGGAAATAAGTTTTGATTTATGACTTCATTTTATGCAGGGTAAAAGACACCAACATTAAAAGAGAAAAACATTTAAGGCAAAATTCAGAAAAGCCCAACGATGCTGTTGGCTTCAGCCAATGCTTGTTTCCCTGTAAGCTGGTAGGAGGTGACTTCATCCCATCCAAGTCTCACGCTGAATTTTCACAGTGGTTACTTTACCCCACATTAAAATGAAGAGATGGAAGCCAAAAGAGGCCAAGCGGTTGTCCCAGTTGGCTGACCAGCAAGTGGCTGTGACACGACAGAGCCAGGATCTGACCTCACGCGTCTGACCCGGCTTGTTCTGCTCTCTGCACGGTACGGGGCTGCTGGACTTGGGAAACCAAAAGACTACTTAGACGGAATGGTTGCTTGACGTCTTAAAGCATGGAAACTGGGTTACTTTCAAGGCACAGTGAGTCCTGCAGCTCAGAGCCTAAAAAAGGGGCAGGATGACCCTTAAACACCAACAAGGATGTCAGACAAAAACTTACTGGCAAATTACTGACAAAAATCAGTCTCCCACCCTTGCCCGTGCATCAATTTAAAGGACATGAACAGACCATTCAAGCATAAACAAATATGTAATATGCAATATGTATACATATAACATGTATATACGTATAACAAGCAAGTAATTAGGGAAATATTTTCACCACTAAAATAAACAAAATAAGTGCAAATTAAAATAACCTCGAAGTATAATTTTTCACCTACTAAGTTAGTAAAAACATGCTTAGTGTGGTGGCTGGGTGTTGAAACCACTCAGCTCACACTGTAGGAGAAGCGTGTGTGGACGCAATCTTCTTGGAAAGCAGTACGGAGACCACATTAGGAGGTACGGCCAGGGTCACGCCCTTCCCTTCCAGGTGGTCCCCCTGCTGCTGGGGTTTCTGCTAAGGAAATGATTCAGGGGCAGGAAACAAGAGCTATCCACGTAAAGCTGGCTATAATAGGGGAGTGGCTTGGTAAACTACGTATATTAATTTGCTGAGGAAATCCTCCACGGTCACCAGCAGTGGCCACTGTGAAGACCACCTGGAAACACCAGAAGGTGTGATAAGAGTGTGTGGAAAAGTTCAGCACGAAATGTTACGGACGCTACGATTACGGCTACAAACGTTATGTCCTATGTGGGTGAACAAGATTTGGAACATGGAAAAAAATATCTTAAGTGCTTGCATTAATTGGACAGAGTTTCGTTTTCACTATTTCACTATTTTAAGGCAAGAATGATCTTAGGGGGTCCCTTTGTACATCTCTGGACATCAAGCTTTTCTCATCCCTGGCCACGCCCTGGACAGGGAGGTAGCAGGACCCCTGGAGGGACAGCTCACAGATTCCCCCCGCCTTCACTCGGGGTATGAGGTGCACGGAGAGCTCACTAGACACTCCACGGGGAGGAACGGAGGGGTGGGCTGGTGTGGATCGGCTCAGTCAGGGGAGCAGGTCCCTGCAGAGGGGCCACCGCGAGCTCGCAGTGGGATAACTGCAACCTCAATCAGCAGGATCTGGAGGGCCCCCCTCCGAGGAGCGGTGTAGTTGGGCCAGGGGGAGGGCAAAGACGCCGGCGTCCACTGTGCATCCGCCCCAGCCCTCTGCTACGGCTCTGCGCTCACGCAACTCACGTTAGCCTCACCGTGAGCTAACCCTCGAGGTAGATATTTTAGAAACTCCCTTTACAAGTGGGGAAACTGAGGCCCAGAGAGGCTACCGGGCTGCAGAGACTGGATGGCGCTCTTGGAAGGGGTGATCAAAGAGGGTGTAGGGAAGGGGTTACTTGGCGGGTGTGGGACGGTGGTAAGGGAGACTCGGCTTGGATACTGAAGAACCCCTGGGCTAGCAGCAGTGGGGGGAAGCCCAACTTCCCCCCGGGCTGAAGGGGCGGGGGAGCCGGCAGGGATCAGCTGCCTGATGACGGATGCAGCCTCCGCTCACCTTGGGAGGTGGCCGGCCTCCTCTCACCCCACTGTCTGCAGCCTGTCCCTCCACTGGCCGGACAACTGGAAGCCCTCTCGTTCCTGTCCATAGAGTTCAACGTTGGCCCTTCCCGGGCACATAACAGGGCAGAGTGTGGAAACAAGGTCTCAAAGGGCAAACACGAACGTCAACACAACCGTCAGGCTGGTAGGTGGTGAAGACTGAGAACGAAGAGACTTTCTAACACCAAGTGCGGAAGCATTCCTTTTCCTGACTATTCTCAGCAACTAGGAACGGAATGAACAGAGGGGATCTGGTCCCCAGCTCCCCAGCTGGAGCAGTCCCTAGTACTGATACATCATCTCAGATGGGCCACTGGCCAGTCTCTGCCTGACCGCCACTGTCCTGGGGAGCTTGCTACTCCATTTGTAGACAGAAACGATATAAAAAGTCTGTCCCCAAAACAGCCCAAATCTACCTTCCTACAACTCCCAGTTTGAGTTCCAATTCTGCCCTGGAGAAACACAAAATAACTTGAATTGTGCTTCTCAACTCTTTTTCTCAGCATTCAGAGATGTACGGTCCGAACACTATTCACTCCTCCAGCCGTGCCTTTCACTTGGTGCCCCTGGCGTGTGTGTCCCCTGTAAGGGAAGACATCCTAGAAAAGGACCCCAGCTGGAGGACCCAGTGAATAGTTTATCTGGAACTAAGCCCGGGTGAGCCATGTCTTCAGTGAAGTGTGCTGGAATATCTGCGCCAAGCTCTGTGCCAGGCACTGGAGAGAGGATGATGATTCAGAACCTATGTGGTCTCTGCCCCTGGGGAGTTGACGACCTCCAGAGGAAAACAGACAAGGTGGCAAGCAATTGCGGTATGCTGAGTTAAGGCCACGGCACGGGAAGAATGAGGTTCTATCTGAGCACACAGTATGTCTTCCCACCTTGGTGTGAGAGCCCAGGGAAAAGGTTAACAATAAAACCAGCTTCCTGAGACTGCCCACCAGGCAGCCTAAGCCTATGCTTGTAACACCAGGAAACAGGAGCACTAAAAATAATTTTCAAAAAAAGGGATATTTCAAAAACATTTTAAAGAATCGATATAATCATCAATAGAAAAATCACAGCTTTCTATATTTTCTTATTCTTACTTGACAGTTTTGTTTTCTTTTCTTTTCATTTACATCTTGAAGGCACCCTCATCTTCCATTTGCAGGGCCTCTAAAATCTGAGTGTAGTACCCAGAGCCAGTACTTCGCTACTGTTTTCACATCTCTGCAAAAGTCCCATTTTACAGATAAAGAAACTGAGGCTCAGTGACACAGCTCTGTGTGGTGCACACAGGACTCAAAGCCAAGGCTGTCTGGTTGCAGACGCCGCACTCTGTCCCACAGGTGTAACAGGAACCATCATGTCACGTCTCCCATTCCAGAGCTGTGGGCCCCACAAGACAGCACCTTGAGCCACCAGGTGGGAGAGAAGAAAAGACCTGTGCTTTGGGATTTTTGGAGCATTGAACTCTCCTTCATGGCGGGAATCCGTGGACCACCCTTTCTTCCTTTCACAAGTTTCCCAGGGCCCAACCTTCAACCCACAAGCATTTTTCCAAGAAATAATGACCACTCCTACCTTGTGGCTCAGCCTTGGTGTCCAGTCCAAGCACAGAATCCTGGTGAGTGGGCAGTTGTGCTGCTGTGCCTGGGGCCCGGCCGTGGGGTGAACAGGGCAGAAACCCAGACCTCTCCACTCACCCTGCTGCGTACCCTGGGGCTGGTCTGTGATGCAGGGAAGATGGGCTTCTAATTTGCACAGAAGTGTGGTCAGGGCCTGAGGTGTTACGATGGGAGTTTGTTCTCAGCTCTGTTGCTCTGGGGGCTTTGAGACCACAGAAAGCAACTTTCACCGTAGAAGGAAAATAAAGTCTCAGGCTTGGCTGGCAAATCCCAAGGATCCTAACCTCACTCCCCCTGTGGTCCGGATATCAGATTCTCTGTCCTGGCCTTTGGTTTCTGCTTCCGTAGCCGAGTGCATGGGGAAGAAATGCTGCCCTGCAGGCCGCCCCATCCTGAGAAGAAGCCAAAGGAGCTTTCTCGGACATTTCGCGGCAACGGAATAAAAATAAACCTTGGTGTGCTTGCAAATTCCAGAGAGGGAGACAAACGGCAGCTCGGCTGCAAGCTGACTGACAGTGCACGGGAGGGACCTGAGGGAACCGGGCTCCCACTGCCCCCGACCGCTGCCCCCTGCCCCCTGCCCATTAGCTGGGGGACTAGAGCTGATGATTAGAAACCATCAAGCCCAGGCTTCCTGTCCGTGTGGCCTCCCTGCACGGGAAGGCGCAGGATGTTGGGCAGATGCTGTCAGTTTATCTCTGACGCTCCCAGAATGGAGGCTTTTACTCAGCCGGAGTAAGTGAGCAACCAGCCATTAGGGGGGCATCCGGGGGCAGCGTGTGACCGCACCCCTGGGTGGAACCGGAATCCAGCTTGGAGCCATCTAGGGGCTGGGCAAGCTCAGCTGACCAGAGCGAGGCAAATAATACCCACCATTGACTGAGCGCCGTCTGCATGCCCATTGTGAAGGACTCCGGGTGCCTGTCAAGGGCTTTGGAACTGTTCTGATCAGGGACAGGGCGCAGCGTGAGTGTGGTTTTAGAGAGATGGCGTCTGGGGCCGGATGGAAGGCAGGAGGAACCGGTCAGGAAGGAGGACGGATGCTCACCCAGGAGATGGCAAAGGCCTGGATGGGGTCATCGGAGAAGGGGCAGAGGAGGAGAAGGAGGGCCAGAGAGGACCCCAGACGGAACCTGGGGGCCAGTTCTCTGCCAGGTTGTCTGTTGCAGGCGGATGAGAGGGCAGGA